GAGTCAGGAAGACCTGAGTTCAAATCCAGCCCCAGACACTTACTAGCTGCATGACCGTTGAGGCAAGTCCCTTAATTTCTGATTACCTGACAAAATGATCCACTGGATTCACTGGAGAAGGAAATGACAAACCACTCCAATATCTTTACCAAGAAAACCCCCAAATTACCAAGAAAACCCCAAACTGGGTCACGAAGAATTGGACAGGACTGAAACAACTGAAGAACAACAATAATGTGCCGAATGTTAGGATTCTGTGACCCCCAACTAGAAACACTAACACTGCCTGAGCCAAACACAACAACTGAATTGGGCTGTGGAGTTTTAAGAGTTAACGTGAACCTTCCTAAAACCTTGGAACATATTTCCCAGAATTAAGCATTAGCTATTAAAGCCAAGGTTAAGAGTTGAATCAATAGTCCCTTGATAACCTCTTGTCTTGAGTGCCCTCAGTATGAGTTTTTAATCACGTCCCTCATTTCCTTACTTTATTGGTGATTTGTTAAGAACGAATGAGGACAAATGGAACTTGGGACCTTGCAGAGGAATAGAAAGTAGAATGTAAAAAGAGGGGCAGCAAGACGCCAAGATTGGTTGTGAAGAGGTGAGGAGGAAGGGGACGACTGGGGAAATGAGTGGGCAGGTGGGAACATAGAAAAGAAAAACAGGCACTATCAAAAGATAGCTTCAGTTTTTATCGAAGGCCCAGGTTAGTTTGTAGCTTTTACTTTTAAATGCTATGGAAAAACTGCCTGTTACACTGGCGTAGGACAATACATCCTCTCTTGCTTTCCTAAGTAGTTGCAGTTTTGCTTTTGCATTATGGATTATAATACATAATATTATATATTTTAGCTGGTGGGATAGAGAATGGGTAAACCATAAGTCTACATCTTTCCAGACCTTTAAGATAGAATTTTGAAGTGTGACTTTTCTTTCTGGTCTCCCTTCCCCTCCTTTCAATTCCCTTCCCTTCCCCTCAACATATATACCCTTTGGCATTTAGCCAGGTGTTAGAATAAAAGAGAGAACATTTGTGATCGAGGGCCACATTTTCATTTCATACCATCTGTCAGTTTCCAGTTACTATATTTGAACATCCAAAATGATTCTGAAAGTTTGGGACCAAACATTTGATGGCAGAACTACAAAGACTGAAAGGATAATTTTTTTTCTTTTCTTTCTTTATTAATGTTTTATTTTTTCCCCAATTACATATAAAAAGGATTTTAACATTCTTTTTTCAAATTTTGAGTTCCAAATTCTCTCCCTCCCTCCCCACTCATTGAGAAGGTAAGCAATTTGACATAGATTGTACATATATAGTCATTTAAAACACGTTTCCATGTAAGTCATGCTGTGAAATAAAACACACACAAAAAAAACCTAAGGAAAATAAAGTAAAGAAAAAGTATCTTCAATCTGCATTCAGGCTCCCCCAGTTCTTTCTCTACAGATGGACAGCACCTTTCATCATAAGTCCTTCAGAATTGTCATTGATCATTGTGTGCATGAGAGTAGCGAAGTATCATACAATATTGCTGTTACTGTGTATGATGTTCTCCTAGTTCTGCTCATTTCACTTTGCATCAGTTCATATAAATCTTTCCAGGTTTTCCTGAGGGCATCCTGCTCATTGTTTTTTATTACACAGTAGTGTAATTTTTTTTCTTAAAAAGTACTTGCTTCAAATTTCATGTACAGTCCTTTTTGGCGTGTGGAAATGCTTATTTTATTTCGTGTTTAAATTCAGAATGAAAGCAGCACACGCAAAAAGAAACCCAAGGTACTTGATCCAAATATATTTTTGGAGCTGTAGACTGATCAGGCTAGATACAAAGAATGTCAGAGAATCTCTCCTTTGTGTCTTGAAGGAATCAGGATACTTGAATGTTAGCCATGGTGCTGTCACTAACTTGCTGCTTGTTCTTAGAAGGATCATTTAATGTCTCTGAGCCTCAGTTTCTTCATCTTTAAAAAGAGGGGGTTAGAAAGAGTAACTCTACTGTCTTTCCTTTGACCTTCCATTTTCATCCTTTGTTTGTGATCCTGAGATCTCTGTCTCCAAATACTTAAAAACCTAATTCTCTTGTTAACATCTCAAATTCAGCACATCCAAAAAATAAAGCCATTTTTCCTCTTACACCAACTTGTATTCTCAGATTTCCCCATTTCTTTCCATTGATGGCATTTTATGGTTTACAAAGCACTTTCCTCACTACAATCCCGTAGGGGTAGACGGTGTTACTCTCATTACTGTTTTATAGCTGAGGATACTGGGACTCAGAAATTAACTGGTTTTTCCCACAGTTATATAGCTAGTAAAAGGTGGGGCTGGGATTTGGATCCAGGTGTCCCAGGCTGGGAAACTTCACATTGGAGCCTTACCTCTCCTCCATTCCTTACATTTTATTTGTCACTATATCCTATCAGTCTTCCTTTGAAATAATCTTTTGTCCTCCTCTTTCCTCCCCCTTCCCACTTCCATAACCTTTGGACAAGCTCTTATTACTGGAGGTCTTATTCAATGATACAAATATTTTTAAAGTTTATACCATTTGCAGAGCACTGGGGCCAGTTGCTTGGCGGGATGAGGAAGTAGAGAAGAGGATACAAGGCTGAGTGAAGTTGTCCCTGGGGATTATGGGGTAACAGATAAACAACCCTTGTGGAGATGTAATATGGCAATCCCCTCTGCAGGCGCCCCTTCTTCCTCAGCAGTCGCTACTAAAGTCACTACTAAAGACCCAGAAAAGAAAATTTTTACCACCAAAATCATTGGCCCTGTCAGATGGCTCCATGGCTCAACACTGAACAAATACAGTTTTATCAATGGGAGTGACATATTCAAGAAAAAAGTTAACATTTGCTTTGCCACTGTATACTAAGGACCATGAGGCCTTTCCATCTGACCTATGGCTGATATCTCTTATTGTCTACCCCCGTTAGACCATGAGTTCTTTGAGATTGGGGACTGTCTTGCATTTCCAGCTAAGTATTTAGTGTCTTTTAACATTAAAAAAAAAGTTTTGAGTTCCAAATTCTATCCTTCCCTCAGCATTTGATTTTAAAAAAAATTGTTTTCCAATTTTTAACATGAGTTTTTTTTAAATTTTGAGTTCCACATTTCTCCCTCCCTGCCTCCCCTCCCCCTTCATTTAGAAGGCAAGTGATCTTATATAGGTTATACAGTGTGCAGTCATGCAAAACATTTCCATGTTACTTATGTTATGAAAGAAAATACAGATCAAAAAAAATCCCAAGGAAAATAAAGTTTAAAACTATATACGTTGATTTGCTTTCATCACCTCTTTCTCTGAAGGTAGATAGCATTTTTCATCAAAAGTCCTTCAGAATTGTCTTAGATCTTTGTATTGCTGAGAGTAGCTAAGTCATTGGCAGTTGATCATCATACAATATGTCTGTTACTATGTACAATGTTCTTTTGCATCAGTTCATGTAAGTCTTTCCAGGTTTTTCTGAGAGCATCCTGCTCATCATTTCTTAAAGCACAGTATTAATTCCATCACAATCATATACCACAATTTGTTTAGCCATTCCCCAATTGATGGGCATCCCTTCAATTTCCAATCCTTTGACGCCACAAAAAGAAATATTTTTGTACATATAGATCCTTTTCTTTTTTCCCCAAATCTCTTTGAGATACAAACCTAGTAGTAGTATTACTGAGTCAAAGGGTATGCAGAGTTATATTGCCCTTTGGGCATAGTTCCAAATTGCCCTCTAGAATGGTTGGATCAGTTCACAACTCCACCAACAGTCCAATAGTGTCTCAATTTTCCCATATCCCCTCCCACATGTGTCATTTTCCTTTTCTGTCACATTAACCAATCTGATAGGTGTGAGGTAGTACCTCAGAATTGTACATTTCTCTAATCGTTAGTGATGTAGAGCATGTTTTCATATAATTACAGATAGATAGCTTTGATTTCTTCAACTGAAAACTGCCAGTTTATATCCTTTAACCATTTATCAATTAGGGAATGACTTGTATTCTTGTACATTCGACTCAGTTCTGTTTTGGCATTTAAGGCCCTCTGTACCCTGGTTTACGTTTGTGTGTGCATTCTCACATACCCACATAGACATATCTGCCAATCTGTCACTTTGTCTTTTATTCCTTAATATGTACCATTTGATGAAAATAATAGAATATAAGATCCTAGAGGAAAGAGCTTATTTTTATTTTTACCTTTGTGTCATTAGCACCTAGCATAGTATTTTCTACATGGTGAGCACTTAAGGAAGAGAAGGGGGGGGCAGGAAACAAATATCTATTAAGTGCTTACTGTTTTAAATATTTGTTGAATTAAGCTTATGTTGAACTAAACTGCTCTTTTCCTATCCTCCACATTCACCATACTCTTCTTTTTTTTTTTTCTTTCATAATGCCCACATCTTCTCTCTCCCTCTTCCTGATGTGTTTCAAACCTCACATTGTCCAGGAAGCCTTTTCTTTTATACTCCAGGTGATATTTATTTCCCATCTTCCAGATATCGATTCCCATCTTCCATGGCATTTATTGCCTGCATGCTTGTCACCTGATTATAATAATTGCACACTTGCCAAACAGCTTACTTGCTTCAAGTTTCGTGTACAGTTCTTTCTCTCATGGTTCCTGAAAACAAGCCTTGGTTCCCAAGTACGCTTGAGAGTAAGGATTATTCCAAAGCTCTTTATCTCTAACCCTTGGAGAGGGTTGTTTTCGGGTGAATGATAAGTTGCATGGTGTGTCTTTGTTGAATTGAACAAAGGTGAAGGAGAGAGGAATGCCACCCATGTCTTGACTCTGGTAATTTAGAGCAGGGGTGGGGAACCTGCAGACTTAAGGCCACATATGGCCTTACTCTCCACCCCGAGTTAGAGGGGAAAAAGAAGAATACATTTTTACTTGAGTGGTGCTAGTGAATATTTTATATATGAACCCATGCCATTCTCCAACCTGCTAATATGTCCTTTCTTTGTTATACTTTTTCAGTTGGCCCATTAAAGGTGGAATTTCTTCGCCCTGTGAATCTGGAAACCATAGAAAAAGAAAATCCTAAATTGAGGAAAGGAGGTCGATTTGCCCCAGAGGACTGCACAGCACTTCAAAAAGTGGCCATTATTATCCCCTTTAGGAACCGAGATGAACACCTTCGTTATTGGCTTTATTATCTCCACCCCTTTCTGCAGCGGCAGCAGCTGGATTACGGGATATATGTGATAAATCAGGTAAGACAAAAGATATTGTGACATTATTGGCTTCCTTTTTAACAGGATATTGTATATACAGATTTCATTTGGCAACAAGCTTTGATACTATTGTTAGTATTGCAGAAAAAAAGAGTGAATGAAGAGGAGGAAATTCATAAATTGGAAGCGGAAATGCAAACCCACATTTCACTGAGCTGTTTTTCTATTCAGAAGTGGCTTTTAACCTTCTTAAACATTTTAACTTACCTAGCTCATTCATTTCATTGTCCAGGATCATAGAACTTGTAGGCGGAAGGGACCTTAGAGATTATTTAGAGATTCAACTTTGTATAGAGGAAAGTAAAGCCTAGAAACAGGAAAAGTCAGTTGCCCAACTGCAGAGCTGGACCCAGGTCTTATGATTCCAAACTCAGACTTTGTTACTTTGAACTCAGACTTTAGTACTACAGTTAAGTGATCATAAAGCTAAAATGTATTTCTTCTATTTGGAAGCTATTATGGAGTTTAGATTTAATGTCAGAAGCACACGTAAATATCTTTTGGGTGTTTATTTGTCGTGTACCAGTGAATGGGTTGAGATTTATATCCATTAAGTAGATGGAGGAAATAAATTTTGATGTTGAGTATCTCTCCCATGTGGGTGGCATTAAGGTTTATTCTGACTTGTGATATTAGTGCTTAAGAGACAGCTAAGCTTTTGCATTTTTTCCTGCTCACAATTGATTTGACTTCGAGAAGAAGGTTGGTTGTGGAGACATTTATTTATAAACAGTTGCTTGTTTTTTGTCACTTGGTGGAGGATATAATTTTTTTTTGAAGTTTATGCTTGATTTTTTTTGCTCTATATGTAAATTACTAATAAATTGTGACCTAACTCAGCACAGTCGTAGATCTGATCTCTGCCTGTGTACCATTTTCATTGAAATTTCTTAGAAGTGACAGAGATGTTCATTTTAAGATGAATTGGCCACCATTTTATTTTTAACTTACAACATCTTAGTGCCATTTAATAGAGTAAAAGCTTTATCAAAACCAATGAATATCACCAAAGTTATCAAGAAACAGACAAATACAGACTGCTGAGTGACTTCAATTGAGCCAACATTAATTGAGCTTCTATTATGTATGTACATTGCACGAAGTTCTTCTGTATGAGGTATTTTCAAGGAATTTGCAATCCAGTCTCCAAGATGAGACATTTGTATAAAAAAAATAGTTCACTAAGTCACCTGGTTAAGGTATCACTTAACCTCCCTATGCTCCAGTTTCTTTATCTGTAAAGTAAAAAGATTGAACTGTATTCTGTGTAAGGTCTTTCTAACTCTGAAGTTTTATTTTATCAAAATCACACTCCATGTTAGCCTATGGTTGAATTGCATAATGGATTGATAAATTCGGAGATGGAAGTGGTCCGTGCAGCTTTGGGCAGTTTAGAAAGGCCTCAGCCTAACATGGTAGAGTAATGAAAGAATGAAATGAGAGGGTAAATTTAGGGGGTGAGGGAATTGAGGTATGTGGAGCAGGAGGTAGAGAATCTGCCACTGCTAGGCAGAGGAGTTGGACTTTGTGCATCAGGCTGTAGGGAGCCATGTAAGGTTTTTGAGGAAGGAAGTGACTTGATGCAAATTTAAGAAGATCATTTTGGTGGTAGGATGTAAAAGGGGTTGGTGGGAGGAAATAGACCAGAGGCAGAAGAGCAGAGGTTATTGTGATACAGTTTATGTAAGAGGTATTAGGCCCCTGATCTAAAGTAATTATATAATTAGAAGAGTGGGGGGAAAAAGTAGAAGAATAAAAAACTTAATGAATACATAATGGAGGAGACAAGTTTTTAGGCTTAAGATTTTAAGTCCAAATTAGTGGGAGGATGAGTGAATTGAATAAATTGGGGGAGAGGTCACTTGGCATGAAGGCTAGGGTGCTGGAGATGGAGTTAAGAACGTCCCAGGTTCAGATCCTGCTTCTAATACTTACAAGCCATGTGTCAATTCAAAAGCCCCTAAAAATCTTTGAGCCTCAGTTTCTTCATCTCTAAAGAAAGGAGAATAATACTCACTACTTAACCTCAGGGTTTTTGTTGTGTTGCTCAAATGAGAAACCGTATGTAAAGTACTTGGCTAACTTTTAAAAATATTATTAAAATATCAGCAATGATAAGCATGGTGGTTTCATGGATAAAACTAGATGAGTCTAGAGGGGAAGCTGTCTTTGAAGGGAATATGATTTTAATTTTAGATAGGTTCACTTTGAATAGACAGTGAAACATCTACTTTTGCTACAGATACCTGTTGGGAGATATGCAGGCATCCTGGTTATAAACACTCCTTGTCAAAATGCCCAGCACGCACCAAAGCCTGTTGACTATAGAGAAGAGTTTCTCATTTGTATATTGTGGCTTTCCTTTAAGATTCCTTTCTGCTCTAACATGATAGAATTTTATTAACTGTAGCGTCTTGGAGCTTCTGCATACTCGTTTAAATTAAATATCATGGGCTATTATTCCTTGTTAGGGTATCCCTTCTCAACCCCCAGTTCTGTCTGTGAGGCCACCAGTTTCCTGATGTCTGAGGTTAGGTTAGTCTGAAGTTGGCTTTTCTCCCTCATTACCCACATTCAGCTTGTTTTCCAGCCCTACAGATTGTTCTATCAAAATGTCTCTCTCAAATTTTAATCCTTCCTCTCCATTTCTTATTGCCACCAGTCTCCTTTATGGCCTTGTTACCTCACACCTGATAACTGCAGAAGTCTTCCCCACTTAAAGTTTCCTGCTTCTAGCCTCTCCTTCCTCCAGAATACTACTATCAGATTATTCTTCCTAAAACATTATCTGTATCATGTTACTGCTTAGCTCAAACACCTACTCTGGCTCTCTACTTCTTATAGAGAAGTGTGGTCTGGGAGCCCTAAGACCCTTTCAGGAGGTCTGTGAGGTCAAAACTATTTTCATAATAATACTAAGATAATTAAATTTCTAATACACTAAACATTGATAGGTATAACCCGCATAAATAAAAACTCTTTGGGAAGGGGGGATACTCAGTAATTTTTTTTTATTGTATTTTTTTTTGACAAGGTGGTCAGGGTTAAGTGACTTGCCCAGGGTCACACAGCTAGTCAGTAATTTTAAAAAATTATTTACATTGTTATATATTTTCCAGTTACATTTTATCCTCAGTAACTTTGAACAGCTAGCTGGTACAGTGGTTAGAGCACCTAGATTGGGAATCAGGAAGACCTGAATTCAGTCTGGCTTCAGACACTTCTTAGCTGTGTGACTCTGGGCCAAGTCACTTAACCCTGTTTGCCTCAGTTTCTTCATCTATAATATGAGCTGGAAAAGGAAATAGCAAAGCACTCTGGTTTCTCTGCCAAGAAAACCCAAAATGGGGTTACGGAACAGTGGGACATGACTGAAATGACTTAGCAACAAAATTTTAGGAGTGTAAGGGAGAGAGAGAGTCCTAAGACTGCTAAGTTTGTGAACCAAATAAAGATTAAGTTGTTGAGCCATTTAAAATCTTTCCTAAACTTACCTCATTGTACGTATCCAGCTTTATCTTACTACTCCCTGGGACGTGTTTTCTACTTTATTGCACTTATTAGAACACATGCTTATTTACAAATTCATTCCTCTTTTTGTCCTTGTAACCCTGCCTGAGAAAAACATCCACCTCTTCTCTCCCTCTTTTCTATTTAGTCAAAATGCCACCTCTTCCATGAGGTCTTTGCTGGTTTTTTTCTTCTATCCACCCTTAGTCCTGATGTGATATCTTCCTCTTCTATTAGATCTAGATCTAGATCTAGATCTATCTAGACCTAAACATTTAAGCCACCATCTAGACTAGTTTAGACATCTCATGGCATTGACCATAGTTACTTATGTATATGTCATTTATTCAGTGTTAGGTACCTACTATAATATCCAGAGCCCTGTGTTAGGTATGGTAAGCCCAAAGAGGAAATATATGTGGTTCCCTACTTTTAATAAACTTAATCTAGTAGTGGAAATAAAACTTTAAAAAAAGAATGTAAGGCATAAATAAAGAATCTGAGAGGAGTTACCCTATGAGGCGGATTGTTTTATGGGGGGGGAGGGTAGAAATTGACTTGTGCCTGGAAGAATGGGTAGGATTTCAACAAGCCAGAGATATGGGGAGGGGATCTGGGCATAGGGTCAGCATTAACAGTGATGTGGAGGTAGGAATGCATAGACTAGTCTAGGAAGGAGAGTTGTTGGTCTACACTGCAATTTGGTTGGAGTATAGACTAGCTTGGGAGGAGGAGGAGGGGATATGAGGGAGGACACAGAGCTGAAAAGATACTAGAGGGTACTGAATGCCAGGCCAAGAAGAGGTTGGACTATTATTTGGTAAGCAATGGGAAGCCAACTTTGGAGCAGGTGAATGGTGCAATGTGGTGCATTAGTAGTAAGGTTAATTTGGTGGCCATGTAGGATAGAGTAGAATAGGGAGAAACTGGTTAGGAGGCTGCTGCCTAGGTGAGAGGTAATGAGTGCCTGAGCTCTTAATAGAGGAGGTGGGAATAATAACAGCTGCTCTTTTATACACTAATACCTTAAGGTTTTCAAACCATTTTAAATATACTTTCTCATTTGGGCTTTACGACAATTAAATATCCATTCTCCTCCCCCTTCCCCCCCAACTCCCCAATTTTACAGCTAAGGAAACTGAGACTGAGAGAAATTAAATGACTTGCTCACCATCAGGCAGCTACTAAAAATCAGAGATGGGATTTGAACCCAGGTTTCTGCTGACTCCCAGACCAGTGCTCTTTCTACTATACCACACTGCCTTTCTTTGACGCAGATAGTAAGGAGGGAGTGAAGCAATGAACCAAACTTGGTGACTGACTGAATGGTGGGGGACCAGAGAGAAGAAGTCCAAAGATGACTCGGAGTTGACACACATAAGCGTGGGCCATGAAGAGAAGTAGGGGAAGAAGGAGAAAATGGTGGGTTTTGAAAGAAAGAGAAGCTCTGTCTCGGATGCATGAGAACA